GATGCTCAATAACTCCTCCTTGTAACCTGACCGATCCACCAGTAACCACTTTGCCACGTTTCAAATGAAGAGTATTACACTTGTCGAGTCCAAATGTTATGCCAATATCATCAGTAAAGGACTCGACAAGGAGAACCTGGTCTTTCAAATTGGTATGCTCTTTTGTAGTCAAACCAGCACATGGAAAGGTTGCGGTGATATGTTTAGGCCTCTTCCAAAATCATTTTCTGTACAATAAGTTGATCCTTGCACCCCCATCATCCCTTCCTTGCTCCCTTCTGCTCTATAAATTATATCATTAGCAGAGCAGTGTGATGACACGAGGTTTGTCAAACACCCTGTGAATAATTTGTATTGTGTATTCAAACATGTGATAGGGCGGAAGTTTTTGGGATCAGTCATGTCTCCATTTTTATGAAGGAGTATTGTGCGACCTTTGCAGAACCATGGAGGAACATCACCTGTGTCCACGAGAGAATTGAAACAAGGAAGTAATGGTGTTTAGACACAGGGGAATAGTTTCAAGTACCGGTTCCGAATGCATATCAGGCCCTGGAGCTATATTAGATTTGGACTTTTAGATGACACTTTTCAGGCAATCTGGTGAGATGTAACAGACAAACGACCTAGTTACTTTGTCATGCATTGCATGGTCATAATCATGGACCCGTGGTGCCTCAAGGCTACAGTCGGCGATTACACACCACAACTGTTTCCAGAACCTTTCACTGGCATCCATGGGAGGCCGTTTATCATGCTCACCATCATCATTTGTTTTAAGTTGCCTGTAGAAGTGTTTTTCATTATGTCTAAAATGTTTATTTTGTTTGATAAACTTGTCCTTTTCCCATTTTTTCTTTCTTACAGTCCAAACATTTAAAGGTCACATGCAACGTAAAACACAACTTTGCAGATTCTGATACCTTTCGGTATGGACTTACCGAAACAAAGCGTCAAAAATGCAAATTCAACTTATAAAGTTGAAAAATAACGCGATGAAAAAAAACGCGCGAAATCGGAGTTCAAACGTTTCACCAATTTTCCCCCAGACTTTTCTGGGGAATACGGGTTTCAACAGCTGGGCTGCGCTCATAGCACGTGCGCAGTGAAATAGGTTCGCGCAACTTGGAAGCGGGCTGTCCTGTGAATACTCGGTGAAGGCTTTGGTGTGAGCTATTTTCATAATGATTTGTTGATATCTCACAGGCGCGAGCTTTTTTGTATGTTATGACAGTAAATAAACTGTTTATATAATTTCATTTGTCTATTTCACCACACGTTCTTCTTACCGAGTCACTTTCTCAGTTCGATACTTAAAAGCAATGTCATTATTTAGAGTTGACACAATTTCTAACTGTGATATAGATATGTCGCTGTCACAGACAAAACTCAATGTCTTGTTTTATTGACACCTGTGTGTCTGCCTGCCTGTCTGCTAATGACAATATTCAATACACAACTGCGATCACTGACCACATGCAATTTGAACTTAACACCAATCAGGCTATACACCATAAACAAAACGCATTGATTTATGGCCCGAGTTCGGTCTCTGTCACATTATGTAATTACACAAACAGGCAGGTGTGATACTTGAACACATGACATGTTATGATGTCTGTTGATTGCAAAATGTTATACACAAAAAAATGAGCATGTATTTACAAAACCCAACTTTCTATATATACACACACAATGAGCCGTGAAGGCGGCATCTGTTAATGAACCAGCCGTTACACTTGAGTGCACACCCACCCGCTCTGACTGGGTTCGGTATCCCGGCTGCTTCGTTTCGCGGGAGGTAAACCCAAGTACAAAATATTGCACTTTTGATTTGCGATTATACGCTTATAATTTAGTTTGTATGTTTTTTCATAATCAGCAATGCATATTATATGTCATGAAGAAGTGATAATTGTGTTTTAATTATGTTTGATTTTTCGGTTGCATGTGACCTTTAATTTTGCCTTAAGGGAATCGACAATTTGGAGAAGTCCCTTTTCTTTCGTTGTCTTGTATTGTAATTTTAATTTCTTCCAAATTGCCTTTTGCCTTTTAGACATGGGATTCCCTGATGATCTTACTTTAAGGCACAGCTCAATCCAGGAAATATTTTTTCTTGTTCCATTAAGTTTTACAAGAAACCGGTTTTTCCTTGGTCTTTTGTTGTTTTCATTAGATGGTTTTTATTTTGAAACTGTGTGAAGTTCCTCCAAAGTTCGAGCGGCAGCATAGACACAGCAATTAACTTCATGTAACGAACAGTCTGCAGAAAGTTTTAGGGAAATCGTCCCATTTAGTAAAGCAATTTCATTTTTGGGAAAATACACATTTAGTTGTTTATTTGGCCTCCGTTTCTCTAAAGGTAAATCACAAATGTCCTGATAAATAGAACTGAACAAAATGTAAACAGGGTTCTCAGAAAGATCTGCAGTAGAGGAAGAAGAAGAGTTTGGGTCAGAAATTTCGGGGCCAATTGGCTCTATGCCGACAGAATCAGGAAGAGGAGAGAGGTTAACGCGGACGTCCATCATTAGTTTTGGCTCTGCTGCCACTTGAGCACTCTGCTCATGCAAAGGTGCCTGACGGGCTCCAGTTATGGGTTGAACTGCTCACGGGGCATGATATTTTTAAGCCGCCGGAATTGATCTCGGAGATTTTGCTCCGTCAGGAAAGCATACATGGACATGGCATTGTCCCAGTGCAGCTTAAGCGACTTGCCATTGAGGCATGGATTTGCAGGCCACCCTGTCGCTTTCGCACACTCAAGTAGTGTGGTTTTTAGATGGTTTCACCAAGATATTCTTGATTGTGTTCTGTGCTTTCCCCTGGGGCAAGTCCCATCTCCAGTGTGGTTGGTTTGACTACCGGAGGAAGGCTGACTGAACGATTGATTTCTTCTTGCCTATTTGTAACCCAGTAAGAAAACCAGCTTCGGGGGCTCAGCCCTAACTGGGTGATGTACGTTTAGTTCAGGGAATAAAATACCCCTATCTGGGTCCACCACGAAGAGGCGTACATCATCAGGCCCTTAAATTATTATTATTTTTTGTTATTGTTTTACAGATAAAAGATGAAAATGCAGGAGAGAGGGTTCGGGTGATCCTAGCACAGTCAGGCTGGTGAGGCTCATCATCAGCTCAGGGCCCTTGTCCCCCTCTACACGCAGCCCAGACAGCTAATGGGACTTCACCCAGGAAACACTGCCTAGTCGAACCCACCAAGAGCTTTCCGGGGAATATGTAGACTTCCCAACACTGCAGCTTTCTGCATTACCCAGAGTGTCAGAAGGGCTGTGCTCTCGGTGGAGAACCCGGGCACTCTCAGATCAGGAGGTACCAATCCAAGAGCACCGAGAACAATGGGGAATTCTTCTGAGGCTGTATATGGGCCTATTCCACAGAAGTTTGATAGCATCATTTTCCATGACGCCCTGGACATGTTCAGGGTCATACCATGGATGGACCTCAAAGCCACAGACATGGCGGAGACGGTAGTAAAAGCAACGAGCCATGCCATCATGTCGTTTAAGATATGCTGTTTGTGCCAAAGAAGGGCATCCACTGACAACGTGTTGGACAGTCTCTGTAAATTCATTACATAATCGACATTTCATATTGATATTTTCTTTAAGAATCACATTTTGGCGATTACGAGTGGTAAGTGACTGGTCATGAGCAGCAAAACAGAAGCCCTCAGTTTCACATTTAAGACCAGCCGACTTCATCCAGGCAAAAGAGTCGGTGGGATTGCTATTCTGTTCCACACACTGAAAGTGTTAACTGTCTTTTTCTCCAAGATGCTAAGAGTCTATTAATTTCTTCCAGTCTCTTTCTGGTGTTGATTACCCATAGTTGTTCAAGATCTGGCGTAAATTTAATACCTATTACATCAAATTCACCAGTTACCCATTCAGTTTTCAGGTCATTACATATTTTATCAGTAGATTTAGCTTTTGATCCAATCCAGATCCAGACTCGGGTTCGATTCCCCACTTGTGCACAATGTGTGAAGCCCATTTCTGGTGTCCTCCCCCTTGATATTGCTGGACTAATGCTTAAAGCGGCGTAATACTAAACCCACTAACTCATTTGCTGGAGACCGCCTCCGTGGTGTAGTGGTTAGAGCATCCGCCCGGAGAGCGGAAGGTCGCGGGTTCGATCCCCCACCGCGTCATACCAAAAGACGTTAAAATATGGTACTTGTTGGTCCCTGTCTGGCGCTCATCATTAATGTGTACAACAAGGATTGGTCGGCTCGGAGTCAGTATAATGTGTCTGAGTGGGGTATTCATGCTTCACTGCGGCATGGTATCTCAGTGGGCTAGCACTATAAAACCACCTTCAGTCTGGGCTAGTACAAGCAGCCGCACCTACACATTCACATGCATGCACATCGTTATATGAGCGAAATATTCTCAAGCACGACGTTAAACCCAATTTCACCTCACCTCACCTCTAAATTGATTTTCAAACCTAACATTTTATAAAATGCATTAATTTTGTCAATAGCGTGATATAAACTATCCTCGGTTCCATCAAGAAATAGTTTAGTATCATCAGCGTATTGATCCAGCTTATATTCATTATCATGGACAACAATACCTTTAATGTCATTGTTTCTTATTATACAACCAAGAATCTCAGCTACGAAAAAAAAAATGTAAGGGGAAAGTGGGTCTCCCTGTCTACATCCTCGTTCATTAGCAAAAAATTCAGAGAGATTACCATGCTGGATAACACAAGATGTTGTTTCAAAAGTCTATATATATTTATCCGTCTTATCACTTCAGGACCAAATTCAAATTTGTGTAAAACTAGGTTGAAAAATCTTTGTTGTTGTTTTGAACATAATGTCATATAGCAGTCTTGTGTTTTCACTTATAGTACTACCTGGTATAAAACTAGTTTGATTACAGTGAATAAGTTCATCTAAAGTAGCTTTTAATCTGTGCAATACAGGAGCTGATAATTGGTTTTATGGTTAATATGTCTAAATACCTTATCCAGTGATAACTTCCGTCCTGATCCTGTTCCGCTCTGTTTCTGGCTCCTAATTTCAATAACGAGTGCCCCAACCAGTACGGCCATATTGAAGATGAACAAACTAGAAAGAAGACAGGTTCGCTTTGTGTCAAGTTTTTCCATTTACAGGAACAATGCACTGGAAAAAAAACAAAACACGTTTGATAATCTTAAGAACTCTATATGAACGGTAAACAAAACCATAGTGTATGAAGTATACTGTGAACGATAGACTATATGTGCAAGATGAAAAATAACTGTATGATATTAAAGAATGAAAGGTGCGCATGCGTCGGGTCGACAACACGTGTTTTTTATTGCTCTGATAATGGGTATCTCTTTAGCCCAATATCGGGCTAAAATTGGTACATTTATACAACCAAAAGGTTCCAAACTAAGTTAACACGGTCTCCAAGTCAATCAACGGTCAGTTTCTGTGTGTTTACGCCTCCTGCTCCTTCTCAGCACACTACTTGTGACGAGCGGGTCGGTGGAGATGAACCGAGGACCTCTCACCCGTCAGTCCACCCTACAGACTGGTATCGATGGATCAGTGCAAGTTGATCAAGGCTTGAATGATTCGAGCAGTGATGCAATGAAGAAAATGTTCAGTGAACTAAGATGTGCTATGGACAAGAATTTCGAATCGTTGCATTCGAAAGTTGACAACATGGCGTCGGACATGCACGAGCAGCTCGCCCGACTTCAGACAGAGAATGTGGAGATGCACACCAAAGTTAAAGAACTTGAAGATAAGTTAGAGGATCTTGAATCTAGAAGCCGACGTGATAATTTGTTATTTCATGGACTGCAAGGCTCCTCAGGAGAAACCTGGGATCAGTCGGAAGAAATTGTGCGATCGTTTCTAACTGACACACTGAAAATGGATGAAGAAACAGTGAGTAACATTATTATTGTGCGTGCTCATCGACTAAATCCACGTAATCCTCAATCTCCTGTGATTGCTAAGTTTATGAAGAGCAGTGATAATAGCAAAGTGTTCATGCGTGCTCGTGAACAGCTAGGACGTGGTAGTAACCACCGTGTAACAGAGGACTTCACCCGGAGAGGACAGGCGTGAGGACGAGTAAAAATGCGACAGAACAAATTAGTAAAATCGATGGACAAATTAGTCATCGATGGACTTACGTATGTATATGACCACGACAAGAAAGATATAGTTTGTATCTCAAAAAGACAATCTACCCCAGCGGGATCGCAAGCACAACAACAAACAAGCTACAGTGCAGCAGTGACAGCAGAACCACGTGGGTCATTGTTTACATCTAGTGAATCCGGGAGCAGCAGAACAAGGGAGGCCACTCCAAACTGCTGAAGTGAAGGCCGAGGCTCGTTTGTTTACAAACTGATGGAGTTGACATTCTTTAATGGAATATAGAGAGTCTACGTAAACATGACCAATGTGGATCTCCTCTGAAGAACTACTGCAAGAAGTTCGACGTAATCGGATTCTGTGAATCGTTTGTACGATCAGCAAGTGAGTTCACTGATTTTTTGCCAGGCTATAGTGTTTTCAACAGTGTACGTCAGAAAGTCAGACGACTTGGCCGCTATAGCGGTGTTGTAACTGTCTTCATAAAGTCATGCCTAGTTGAAGATGGATATTGTAAGCGTCTTTATGAACATTTTAAGGACTGTATAGTGATTCTACTACATACGTCACGGTTAGATTGGGATCGAGACACTATTTTAATCTTCAAGTATATATCACCAGAAAACTAACTCTCTTATATATAATGATGATGATAAAGATGGTATATCTGCATTGGAAGACTACATATCAACTATACGATGAGATTATCCTGTAAACCATATACTTCTGTGTGCAGACTTCAATGCCAGGATGAAGGATTTTCTCGACTACATCCCTGATGACAATTTAGATTGCATTTATGATTCAGCAGACTATCCCAGTGATGAGTTTGATACTCCCCGAACAAGCAAAGACTTTCATTTTCACAATAATTATGGCATTAAATTGTCTGAACTTTGTCGAACATTTGGAATCCATACCTTTAACGGCCGACTCCATAATGATAAATCTGGTGAGGTATCATGTATCACTCACAATGGCTCAAGTGTTGTGGACTACATGATTGGAATCTTATCATTATTCCACAAGGTTAGAAATTTTGGGATAGGTACTCTGGACCTCTCTTGTCATTTCCCCCACTACTGCACTCTTGATATTTCATGTGCTCTGTCTAACTCGGAATGTACCACAACTTCTAATATAGATGCTAATCAGCAAGCCACTACTGAGGAGGATTCATGGGTTAGATATGTGTGGTCTAAGGACAGTAATAGTCAGTTTGCAACACAGTTTCACAACAAATTTTTAGATATGTCTGTTTACACTAACTGACCTTGTGTATACCAATATTGATGAAGCAGTTAATCTCTTAGTTAGTGTGATACAACAAACTGCTTCCCATACTAGAAGTGTGTATCGTAGCTTTGATAAGCACAGGGACAGATCACAGCCCCCCTGGTGGGATGCAGAGCTGGAACAACTAAAACACAATAAATATTCTGCATTACGTGCACACAGAGACAATAGTCAGGACTTGGATATATTTCGACAACTACAAAAACTATTTAAAAAGACATTCATATCAAAAAAGGAGAATTATCAGTGTAAGCAGAGACAGAAACTAGTGGATTCCAGCAGTGACTCAAGCCAGTTTTGGAAATTTTTAAAAAAATATAGAATGTGTGACAGTCTTCCCTCATCTATCTCATGCAATCAGTGGTTTGATCACTTTGTATCATTACTTTGTGTTGACAAGCCTGATGTTTTACCTATTGTTTCACCACATGTTGTAAATGCTACTGATGTGTCAACACTTAATGCTGCTATTACTGAGCAGGAAGTTTTGTTTCACATTTTACATTCTCCTAATAGATAAGTCCCCTGGACCTGATGGTATAGCAAATGAGTTTCTTAAAGCATCAAGTGCCTCCATTGTACCTTTTCTTACAGTACTGTTTAATCAGATATTTGATATTGGTAATTTTCCATGTGGTTGGGGCAAGAGTATTATATGCCCTCTTTTCAAATCTGGCTGTAAAAGTAACCCAAATAATTATAGGGGTATATCTCTTATTGATTCTATTTGTAAGACATTTTCCTATATTTTGAATAAGCGTTTAAAATCACGGTGCGATGCACATGAAATTATTAATGAGTCCCAGGCAAGCTTCAGAGCAGGGTACTCCACAATTGGTCATATTTTCTCTCTTCAGGCTTTAGCCAAAAAATATTCTGGTAAAAAGAGAGGTAGATTTTATTGCCTTTTTATTGATTTTTCAAAGGCATTTGACACAATAAGACATGATGTTCTCTTGAAATCTTTAGCTGAAGTTGGTATTTCTGGTAAATTTTATAATATAATATCATCAATGTACAGCAGTTTATCTGCATGTGTTAGAACCTCAAAGGGTTTATCTAAGTGTTTTACATGTAGTATTGGTACCCGTCAGGGTTGTGTGTTAAGCCTACAGCTGTTTATCATATTTATTAATAAGTTGTTTTCCTTAATGGAACAGGAAGGTGGTATAGGTGTTAATGTTTCACCTGCTTTTAACAATTTGTGTTCACTTATGTTTGCTGATGATGTTTCTGCACTTTCTGATACTTGTAATCAGTTACAAAAGAAGATAAATGCACTTGAATGTTTTTGTAAACAAACTGGAATGTCAATTAATCTTAGTAAAACAAAAGTTCTTGTTTTTAGAAATGGTGGGCCATTACGGGAATATGAAAAGTGGTTCTATAATGGCAATCCTATTGAAACTGTATCCTTTTATAAATATCTAGGACTTGTATTTACACCAAAGCTAACAAGGCAAATATCTTATCTCAAGCTAAATGGTATTTTCAAAAAGATGGGAAGAGTAAATTGTAAAGACTTATTTAAGATTTTTGACTGTGTGGTTTCACCTATTTTGTGTTATGGGTCTGAGATTTGGGGTACTAACTATTGTAGCATCATTGAGTGTGTTCAGGTAAAATTTTGTAAATATTTCTTGAAAGTTGGTAAATCTACCTGTAATAACATGGCTCTTGGTGATTGTGGCAGACTTCCTCTACAAATTACTTATATGACTAAAGTAATTAAATACTGGTGTCACCTATTGTATATGCCTTATGATAGACTGCCAAAACATTGTTATATTATGCTCAAGTCCTTAGATGATGTTGGCCTCACTACTTGGGCAACTTTGTGTAAAAATATTTTATTTAAGTATGGTTTTGGCTATGCATGGATCAGTCAGGATGTTGGCAATGTTGATTATTTCATATCCTTGTTAAAGCAGAGACTTTCGGATAATCTTAAATAATGTTGGTCCACTTCAATTCAAAATTCTAATAAGTGTTTTTATTACTCCCAATTTAAGACATTTTTAAATGTGGAAAGGTATTTAAATTCTGATATTCCTTTACATCTCAGATCTGCACTCTCTAAATTTAGATGTGGTAATTTTACTTTAGCTGTTGAAACTGGAAGATACAATTAAGTTAATTACAATGAGAGATTATGTCTATTTTGTAAATTGGATGACAAAAATGTTATTGAAGATGAATTCCATGTGCATTGTACTCCTTAAGTGTGAATGTTTTTTCTGATTTAAGGTTAAGATATATTCAGAAATATTTTACTGATTTTGATCCAAATGCCAATTTTATTAACATTATGAAAACACATAGTGATTGTATCATCGAGATGTCAGTATTTTTCGGTATCATGTACTTCAGCGCATTAGAAATGTTCCTCTTACACAGCATGTGCACTAAACTATCTATATCATATGCAGATGACTGTATGATTGGCCTGTGGCCTTTTACTGAATAAACTTGTCTGTCTGTCTGTCATAAACTTAAAGCTTAGTACTGAGTCTCATGGGATACTCATAATGCTGTAAATCACTATTTAATGTCCTTCGCCGGGTGGCCCTCGAGGACTCTTTATTCAAGCTGATCCATTTCTGCCGTTCCAATAGGGTTACATGTGGTTAGATATATGCATGTCAATATTACGTTTATGTGGATGATATAAACCAAGCTCCAGTATCATACAGTTATTTTTATCATGCATATACCAGAAGTATTTTAGGCTCAAAACTTTTTGATAGTGTGTGAAGCCCATTTCTGGTGTCCCCCCGCCATGATATTGCTGGACTAATGCTAAAAGCGGCGTAAAACTAAACCCACTGACTCATTTGCTGGAGACTGCAATGACAGCTGCAGTGTTGTGGAAAATGTTCATGGTGGACTGAAGTTATTTTCATCTCAGTGGGTTATCACTCATGTTTAACATGTTTGATACATTAATCTCGCACTATTCCTAGATTGGGAACTGGTCTGAGATTTGGGATTCCTATATGTACTCAGATTAATTACTCATATGATAATCAAAACAGATAAATATAAAGTTAGATAGTAAATTAGTAAATATACTCTCCCAAAAAAGAAACGCATCATGAAAATAGCAATTTCATGTAGCAATGAATTAAAACGTGATTCATTTTACAAAAGGTTTTGCTCTGTTTATGAGTCCTATTGTGTTTATGTTTTGAAACATCACAACAAAACGCACCATCCGTAAAATACCCGTATTTAACAGCATGATTTTCAGTTTCGGCGTGTAGTGTCACAGAATACACAATTCACATGCAATGCACGTGAAAGTTGGGGATAAGATGGTCTCAATGATGGGTATAAAAGGTTGATCGCTGTCTGTCGATTATTCACTGTATTTGGAATATTGTTGACAAACGCAAAATGTCACGTCAAAGTGAAGCCAACCGCCATATCGCTATTGGTTTGCTTGAAGCTGACCAGTCTCAACGTGCATGTGCCTGACGCATGAATGTTCACCAAAGCACCATTTCATGGCTCTGGGAGAAATATCGCCGGCAGAATGCAGTAGCAGATGCCCCTCGTAGTGGCCGACCTCGAGCGACCACTGCGGCGCAGGATCACTACATCCGGGTACATCACCTGCGTCATCGAACAGCTATGGCGACCAGTACCGCTCGACAAATACCCGGATTGAGGAGGCTTTGTGCACAGACTGTCAGGAACAGGTTGAGAGAGGCGGGTTTACGTGCGAGAAGACCTTATTTTGGCCCTGTGCTTCGACAACAACATCGTCGACATCGAGTTCAATGGTGCACCAACGTTCAGGCCTGGAACCTACCGAATTGGCGTAGAATCTGGTTCAGTGACGAATCACGATTTCTATTAATTGGAACGGCGCGATGGAAGAATGCGGGTGTACAGACGTCGACGTGAACGTTTCGACGACGCTTGCATTTCCCAGGTGGACAGATTCGGTCGGGGCAGTGTTATGATGTGGGGGGAGATCACCTGCCGTAGGAGAAGTGATTTGGTGATGATCCAGGGCATCCTGACAGCTCAACGGTACTGTGACGAAATCCTACACCCACACCTCCTTCCAATCATTGATCGCCAGAGGGAGTTGTTTCAACAGGACATTGCCATGCCCCACACAGCACGTCACACTAGAGACTTCCTCAAGAACCACAACATCAATGTGCTCCCCTGGCCCTCAAGATCACCGGACTTAAACCCGATCGAACATCTGTGGGATGCCCTGGACAGACGGGTGCGACACCGTAACCCTCAACCCCAGACACTTCAGCAACTCGCACAGGCAATACAGGCAGAGTGGGCTGCGATTAGGCAACACGATATTCTGAGACTTGTTCGTTCGATGCCATGGCGATGCCGTGCAGTTCTCGATGCCTACGGTGGTCACACGAGGTATTGACTTCAGCGCCACCACATGTCTCCATGTGACACTCAAATGACTTTCCTTGAGTTGGTGCCAAAGACGGATAAGTCTGCATTCCCAGTGTTGTTACGAGAGTGTGTTTTTTGTAATTTGTAATAACATTGGTTACGTGATAATAATTGTTGACGTAAGTCACAATGTTTAAAGTTTAGAGTGCTGGTTGTGGGTCACATTTTGAGTCATATATGTTCAGTGGCAACAGTATTTTAGCGGCACGCCTTTATGATAGCGCTCCAGAATTACCTCCCTTGACCGGATGTTTGTGTTGACATCGTCATGTCCACTCTCCTACCCAGAATTCCATGCGACAAGCCAGCATAGTACCTCAGCCACAGGCCAGAAAAATGTGACGATTCGTCACATCTTGCAATGTCCATTCAATATAATGTACAGATTTCTTTTACTCTTCTATTTTTGACGAGTCTACACATCTAACTAAAAAAATTTAATAGAATGGTTTAGCTTCACTGAGAAAATATCCAAAACCAGGTAACATTATTTCAATTTGCGTAGCGATCCTTTGTTTACATGGGTTGTACGGCTCCACGTGCTGTCATCGAAGCCCACGGAAAGCAAACGATGCAGCTAGTTTGATATCTAAATATGTACTGTCATAGACCTAACTGTCGCAGTTGTGGAAGAATATATATGTAACAATGTAAAACATTATGAAGAGAGCGCCGAAAAGCTCTAAACATGTTCAACATGTTTAGAGAAAGATCTAAGTCCGGTCACGTGATACAGCCTGTGGCAGTGATGTTTGTTGGAACGCTGTGCCGGGGTGTGCGTCATGTCGATGTTCAACATGTTTCGAGAAAGATCTAAGTATATATGATAAGCCATGCTGGCTCTGTGTGTGAGGTTGTGAGGTGCGAGGCAAAGACTGACACACACGGACTAACATACGGAATTACATGGATCTTTCACTGGAGTTGCCCATTGTTGTTTGCCTTCGTCACAACGCCATCGTCTGACCCTGACACTTCGTGCCTGACTGCTTTCATTTGTAAACAAGCTCCATTTATCTGATCTCACTGTGATTACCAAGACTCTGTTGAGTTAATATTTTAAATATGTGACCCATAACTTTAGATTTCTTTGTGACTCAATTGCATTGTATTAGAAATCTGTATTGTGATTCATTGTAGCTTGCTCATTGTTTGCTCAATATATTATTGACTATTTTAGACTAGTCTGTGTTATATTTTGCTGGTTCAAAGGGGATTCTTAAACCTTTTGTCACGGTTATTATTTAACCGTAACAGTGTGCAATTTCGCTATATTTCATTGACTCATAAAGCCTACACACGATGTTTCAAAATAAACATAAAAATACAGTTGAAATTCCTATATGCGTTTCTTTTTGGGGAGAGTATAGTACAGTAGAACACGGATATAACGAACTCCAAGGGACCAAGAAATTTAGTTCGCTATATCCGGTGTTCGTTATTCACATTTGACCGCCATCTTGGATTGTAGAGATGTAGAGACACGTATATGCTGAGGCTACAAATTTTTATTGTTGTACATTGACATAATATTAAAATTCTGAATTTATCATTCACAGACATTAGCTAGAACATGTTTTATTTGTTTTTTTAAACGCATTAATGACCATCGAATAATGTTGATTCGCCGCCAACAAGGTTGATGTATACCGCTCAGTGGCTGAGCTGATGCTGAGTGAGTTCGCTAATCACGTCGTTATTGGGACTTGGGGGTAGTAAATCAGTTCGTTATAGCCATTAATTCGCTACTCACGAGTTTGTTATTCGCGTATAATTTTAATGATATTATAAAGGACTGTTGACGGGACTTTTAAATTTGTTCGCTATATCCGTTTGTACGCTATATCCGTGTTCGCTATATCCGTGTTCTACTGTAATTAGAAAACTTACCTCTACAAAGTCATGTACAATATAGACAGCAACTGATTCAGTATGTGCAATGGTGAAGGTGGGTCTGTTTCTGAACACTGCCATGTTTATCACCCACTGAGGAAGTACGAGGAGGAAAATATTCTGACTGTTAGATTATTATGTTTATGGGTTTACAATCCAATAACAACAAGGAAAACCCAGTACTTGCCGTAGCTATGTAAACTGTATCATTCAAATCCGCATTTTTCACAATCTAGATTATACGTGAAGAACACAGGCGATCGATGCATGGGATACGCCCCTTATACTACTATAGGAACAAGGTAATTCACCCGCAATATTGGATACCTCGATAAACCTCTATTCACGCTGATTTCTCGCTTGACATGGATAAACATGGATATATTCAGGCACGTAAGTATTCGTTTTCGTTGTACAACTATATCTCACCTCATAAAGCCCCTTTATTTGGCTTATTAGGCCGTTTTGGCCACTTATTGGCCGATATCGCATATCTGAAAGCCGGAAGTTTACGTTACGCGTCCGGGCACTCCGCACCGAATGCAACCAAGCTCTCTGATTGGTCCATATTACGAGCACAACACAACGCACATGGCCAGATTGAAAATGTCACCACGCTGAATTTTCACGGTATTTATAGATGCCATATGCATGGAAATGTATACTTTAAACGCTGAACAGACATTTGCATATGTATTGATAAGAAAAGGACACAATGTAGTCGTTTTAGGACATGCTGGCACTGGGAAATCTCTTCTCATAAGGGAAACTGTTGCACGCCTGTCATCAGCTGGGAAGAATGTCAGTGTTGTGGCCAGCACGGGAATGTCTTCAACACAGTTTCGGAGTGGCAGAACATTGCATTCCTGGGCTGGGATGCAAGATGGGCATTTGGAAGGTGAAAAATTGCTGAAGTATGTCCTATCAAACAATGACACAGTTACGCGTATCAAGGCTACAGATATACTTATTGCAGATGAAGCCAGTATGATCAGTGCTGCCATTTTCGAGAAGGTAAGATGGCTGAACCACAGGCGATCGATGCATGGGATACGCCCTTGCTCCTATAGTAGTATAAAGGGCGTATCCCATCATCGATCGGCTGTGGTGCAGAACACTAAGTTTAGCCTCTCAATTAAATTTATTTAATTTAAAGTAAAAGTTAATTTTAAATATTTTAAAATTGTCAACACATCTGTACAAGTCCTTGTGGTATAGAGGATTGTTCACTGGAACCGTTTATGTTAATATTCAGAAACACACAGGTTGCAAGTTCAAAGCCAGGCTGCTGCCTAAACTTTTGCAAATTTATAACATAATTCACATCTTGGCAATCTGATCACATGATCAGAAGCACATGGGCTCAGTCAGACAGAAGGCCTACATGTTCACACATTGAGTTATGGCAGAACAGAGATGTGAGTTATTTCTTGAATTTATGTTGCTTCTATGTCCAAAACGAGTTAAGAGAACACATATTTGATTCAATTAATTGCTTATTTAGAAAAAATGAATTTTGAATATTTGTACACTTTATTGGGTTCAGGTTTGGATTGTGTTTCTCCTTTATAGTTTCTCCGAACCTCTCGTCAACTGTTTTGTATACAATGATACAACGTATGTACTTAATGCAACGCTACAACAACGATAGAAACGGAAATAAACTTTGGTGAGAGTGTATCAGACTATAGTACTGTCGGAAATAGAAAAAAAACTGTTTTTAGGCTGTTACTCTGTATCCCTAACATTTACACAATTGCAAATAGCATATGTCGAAATAACCCACTTCGGCCTAACTGGGCGTTCAGTGGGATGCGTTATACGATATCCAGAAAAGCATGTTTACTCGTAAAATCGGGCAAAACTTAGAAAAAATACGAATAGCTGCTCAAAACAATAGATCAAACTATAGATGGCAATTAGGTCGCTCAGCCAGGTATGACGACGGACCGTCGGGGTCATCTCAAAGATATTTTGTGCTTTGTCCATGTGTGTTGACTATGTCTCATCTACTGATTAACATCTTACGTGCCTTTCTTTCATATTATTTGTAAATTGTTATGACGTGCCGTGTACCTCCCCAGTATATAATTGCCCTAAAGGAATATCTTATCTTAGCCGATATCTCTATCCCCAAGCCCGACCCTAGGCGACTCCTCCTATCTGTTTCTTTTTATAGTGACAGTGAGACTGCATGGTAGCTACATCCTTAATAGTTTCGGCATAAAAGTTAATATTTTTGACGTCAGCTATCGTTTATAATGAATCTACGTCTAATTTCAAATTGGGCATTTAAAAAGTGTCCTTTGTAATACAATATCGTCGCATACTAATTTGCATAAAGCCATGGTCTGTTCCAAATACGTCTTTTTGCTCATTTCTGCACTAATTTCCCCTCAGTAAAGTCCCTTTTCTCCGTTTCCTATCTCTCTACCACTGAGACTGTAGTTAGGCCGAACTTAGTTTAACAGATATTTCACACTTTCACTTATCAACTACATAAATTGTAGAGATAAATGAGAAAATACAGTTTTTCTATTTCCGACAGTACTATAATGTGTTTCTTGCCACAACATAGATTATGTTACTCGGGACGTACAGAAACACTCAGATGCAACATGGATGCGTGTCAAAGTACATGGAGCTTTCATTGTTACAGGAGAAGCTATTAGAGAAAAGTAAAAGTTGAAGATGACGTGGTTCGTTATAGTACAGGTTCAGGGTCATGTTTCAACTTAGTCAGTGAAATACTTCTCTACACCAGCATACACCTGAGCGCCTTTCAGTATGTTTCAGGATCATACGTTGTGCAGAAGTCAACGCGTCTGCATAATCTGAATCCTGGGGTCAGCCATAAGGTATGCACATGTACTTCTAAGTGAATGGTGAGTGTTGAGATATTTCTTACTCACCTGTAACACCTCCTCTCAATGTAAATGTAAATGTAAATGATGCGAAGTAGTGTTCATGAATGTAATAATATATGAGACATTAATAAACATGATGTTATCACCTATAGTAATAATACCTGCTATATTAGATAACGCTACATGTTGTACGAAGATATTTCAACAGGTGACTTGTATGATGTATGTACACATTGTTGATAATATTATATACACATATATGTACGTGTGGTTATTCATAGTACTTATTTAGGGTTCAGTCAGCATTAAAGTAAGCGTTTTGTATGATTACTATAACACACTCAAAAAGGCTAAATACATGGTTGTGCTATTATCGCGAATGTTCTCATTTAAATAACAGTTTTATACTATCGGAAAAAATACCAAATATGTTTATCATATATTTCGGCTTGATAGCTGATGCTAATTTGGGATTAAGGTGTACATTTTGTAATTTTAGGAAAAACACTTATTTGACGAACTTAAAACAATTTCGATTTATATATTATTCCGGATCATATAAACATGCACATTCAGACAGTCTGAAATAGAAATCATTTTGACGGGGTAAATATTTAACTAAACGGTATGTGATTTGATATTGCGATACGTTCATACCACCATGCTAGTTGCTAGTTACCATATTCATATTTCAAACTGTCATAGTATTACATGATATATCCGTATGGACAAGGGGTGGTTAAAGCGATCGTTCTTTACGCTGAAGGTCGGGTTCGATTCCCTTAAGGATGCAATGTGAAGTCCATTGTCTGGTGATATTGTTGTGTATTGCCAATGCTGGAACTATCCCACCGCCCTAAGTCCTATTTGTGTAGTAAAATGACAATGACTGTTGATTTGATTTAGGCACTTTTCTTCAAGAGCAACCCTCCTTAAACCATCGGCTATCTGTATATCAAATTACAATAGGAAAGAGATTTACATTCAATACTCATATGGTACGCTGCACTTTTCTTCGCGAGGGACGTTACCCCACTGTTCGCTCGTCACGTCAAAACCCTGGGTTCAGAAGCCCATATCCCCCGCCTGGATTGCTGGAGTATTGCATTTAAAAGCAGCGTAAAACCAAACTCACTCACTATATATTTATGTAATATGACATCATTCAACACATACACACACACTACATACAGAAAAAGAACGTTTCAATAATTGCAAGAAATCTATTACCAAAGGTCGCAAAATCGTTTAACTGATATGGTGCCGACAACCGGAAGTTCATAGTCTGAGCGAAACCCGACAGTTTGGCCTTGGTATATATCACAACTGACCAGCAAATTGGGACGCCTCAGAAAAAGTTGGCCCCATTCCAGGATAAAAGTAGGGTTCAACTGAACTCCTGCTCTGTTATAAATTATGTATTAATACAGGATATTTATATAGCGCACATATCCAAGCAACTAGTACATCGCCCTAGTCCTAATCACTGGATGTTTCACTAGATCAACGGATGTCCTTTTAGCTGGTATTGTTTTAACCAACTCAAATTTTTCATCACAGGATCGATGCTCACTGGATTGTCTGGTCCAGACAACAGCAGCCGCCATATAGCTGGAATATTGCTGAGTGCGGCGTAAAACTAAACTCACTCACTCACTCCTCTTCATCACAGCTATACAACGCGTTCAGACCACAAACCCAAGCATCACGTTCAAGCATCCAGAAGCATGATACAACATAACGTTTTGCAACAGCAGTTGTAAAATAACATTTGTCTTTAAGCTGAAAATCTAAATAGTTGTCTAAATGAAAGCATTGAACCCTTGTTATAACCACGTAAAACGAGGGGTACGCAGGGGATCGTTTCAGTCCCTTGGGCGTCCCAGAAACCTATCTTTTGGGGTTCGAATGCCAGTTAGCCCTGACTGCTTCTTGGTTTGTCAGCATTATACCCTTCCTTGTGCCTTTCGGGCGGTGGGGTAGCCTAGTGGTTAAAGCGTTGGCTCGTCACGCCGAAGACCCGGGTTCGAATCCCCACATGGGTACAATGTGTGAAGCCCATTTCTGGTGTTCCCCGCCGTGATGTTGCTGGAATATTGTTAAAAGCGGCGTAAAACCAAACTCAGTCAGTCAGTCAGTCCTGTGCCTCTTTCACCCTAGTGGTACACGTCTGAGACCTGCACCACTTTGGCCTTTACTCAAACACTAAGTAATAACGTGGAATTAAAAATAGAATACAGTTAAAATCGTGTTAACACACCCACCTGACAGTCACTCACACTGAGTGGCATGATCTGAACATGATCTCAAAGTCTCTCTCCCCTCGATTACGATGGAAGGTGGGAGTAGCCTAATGGTTAAAACGTTGGCTCGTCACGCCGAAGGCCAGGTTCGTTATCCCCACATGGGTACAATGTGTGAAGCCCATTTCTGTGTGTCCCCGCCGTGATGTTGCTGGAATATTCTAATAGCGGCGTAAAACCATACTCAGTCAGTCAGTCAAGTCAGTCGATTACGATGGAAAACGAGTACAGGATGAAACGTTTATTCAAGCAGGAATATAACATTTAAGCATGACCGTGTGTTAATGTAAAATAATAATAATAATAATATATCAATATGAAGCAAATTCACGTTACATTTATAACACACAATTTATATAAAACGACAGAACATTATGAACAGGAATATAACAGTAAACGTTAGAATGTTACGGGATAGGAAAGATGCCATATTTACAATTCACAAACATATCCTTTAAATAGACGTTATACACAACAGAACATAATGAACAGGCAAGTTACATCATGGCTATAACAAAGGTTGAAATGTTACCCAATAGGAACAATGTCAAATTTCCTTCACGTACAATTTGCTTCTTCCAGTTGTAACTGTATTAATCACAAATATCCATGGTTGTTGTTAAACAGTCTCATGCATACCCTTATGTTATTTTTGCTACTCTCAATTAAATGTATATAATATTATAGCTGTTGTGTGCTAGATTTAGACAGAAAGTTCTGGAAGCTGCTATAGGGTACTACAACCTTATGTGTCGTAGTAGCAATTTCTAGAATCTTATTTTGTGTGTACATAAGAGGATATCCTTTCATAAGAAGGCCAGCATTTTGTGTGATCACTCTCTACCCTACGATATTCTGCCTAGACCTAACTTCTTAACAGTTGAATTACTGTTACGGAGAGGTGAATATTACCACCATTGTCTTTGTAACTATACTCAGTGTTGCTTGGATTATATTACCTTTGAATGTGTATGACTACGCTCTTTTGTACTGTCATTGTGATGCCTTCATGCTAATTTGTGAACTTAAGAATAAATTGTTAATTACATCCCATTGGTTCGTTGATTGTTGGTTTCACAGCTAGCTGCTGTAAGGACCGATTCCAGGATAATGTTTTATTTTCAACTTGTTAATCGATACGTTGCAATAAGCTTGGTCGGTGCTCTGATTTTCCGTGTGTGAAATACGCATTATGGCGGAAAGCGCACATAAAATCAGTGTAATTGAATAATGGAATAGTCACGTTAGGACTATGAATTGCACTATGAATTCAACATCAATCACGTTATACGTTCTGATTCACAATCATAATCACCTTATCACATGGTATTTAACACGTACGAACATATTCATTATAACACATACACGCACAAATATAACTGACAGTTATGCCTTCATGGCAGTTTAATGCAATTTTATCATTACCTCCATCAAAATATATCAATAAGTATCTATGGTTCAGGAATACCGTCAAAACGATGCAATGTCAGGTTACGCACGCCCGCGCACGCCCGCACGCACGCACGCGCACGCACGCCCTTGGTATGTCATCATTCAGTGAACTATTACACTGTTTAGGTAAGTTCAGGTCTAATTATTGAAAATGTCCATGACGTTAGCCTTGAGCGAAGGTATTTCTGTGCGCTGATTCATCGTGTATGTGGCATTTGCTGGACCCCAGTCCTTAGCAGGCCTCAAGGCCAGCTTTATACTCTGCAAGGTGAACAAATGTGCATTAATTAGAGGCTGAGGTTGAGGTCAATGGATGCAGCAGTTGCTCGTCCCGTACATAACTTTATTTTATTTCCCAAATGCAAGTAATTTTTCATCCACTAATTCGAAACATATGATCATAAAACTATATTTACATATTTTCATCTCTGTGGACACCAAGAGATGGACTTAAAGGTGGACTAAAAATGACTTTGGGCAATATCGAAACTGTAAGGAGTGATACGCTGCTTTCAGCAAATCCCTATTTTTGGTGTGCCGAGCAAAGACTGTAAGCATTCTGCTACCCATAGGCATCCATATTTCAACTTTGCCTGTGGTTTGGCAGTCATCAGTTTTCGATTCCCTCGCTACTTCTAAAATAAGTTTTAAAAGATTGAGATTTAAAGTTACCAAATTTCTTTTGAAGTTTCACCGCATTTGTACATGTGTCCTTGCCCAACGGGACATTCCATTCCACTGACGCCTCAAACAATACCTCGTGAACAGAGATGTCAAAAGCTCCAGATCTCATATACTTCCGATCTTTTTTAGATTTGAAAATATTTGTAACCAGCTGGAAAGATTGATATATCCAAAATATTTATTATCATCTATCTATGATATATACCATTTATGACATGATATATACCATTTAAGATTTCTATTGGTGGCCGTAATCACACACGCAAAGTAACTCCAACATAGAATATCTCATGGAATGTCGTTCCACAGATTATATGTTCGTCATGGTCTCGTATAACATATGGGGCAGTGATGTAGCCTAGGGCTTACAGCGTTGGTTCGACTCGCCAAAGAACAGGGTTCGATCCCCCACATGGTTACAACGGGAGGAACTATCCATGGTATCGGACTCGCGTGTGACCGACCACTTGCCCAATTAGATGCCTTTTCTTACGACAATCATAACTTTCTTCACACTTCACTTTGGGGGCGTTAGTGTAGCCTAGTGGTTAAAGCGTTCGCTCGTCACGAACCGGGTTCGATTCCCCACATGGTTACAGCGTGATATTGCTGGAATATTGCTAAAAGCACCGTAATACCATACTCACTCATTCGTATAACATGTAATAATAAATGAAAATACTACTGGCTATCTCTTAGGAGAATTAACCCGATAATGTATATCATCCTTCGGTCCGCAAACATGAAATCATATATTACCTTCTTTAGAGAATGGATTGCCATGTGTTTCCTGACAGCCAGTACCATGTAGACCGGGAGAGGGAGGGTGGAGATGACGGCCACACACCAGCCTATTGTACTGGCGTAGCTGGGAAACTCGTAGTTGCCGTAGGTCGGTGGCTGGTAGTTGTTAAGTGTCAGGATGAAAACTGTCTGAAACAGATACAAACACTACATTCAGTGTGGTTATAGTCGTCTTGTGGTGCATTGTTTAGAATATTTTAAACAGCTGTACTCTTCCTCGCAACACCCGGTGTCTTGATTCTGAGTGATCCATTCATACGCTTTTCTCAGCTATTTTGTCTTTAACGCCCAGCGGCGACAGTTTCGGCAGATTTTCTTCTCCTTGGTAAATTCATAATTACACTTTTCTTGGATTAATACAAAGAGAAAAAATGTCATACACAGTGTTGAAGGCACTACCGAGACGCCGGAACTGTTATCATGACTCCTCTAAACTGTATTACCTACCATCAAGATTGCCGGTGTCACAAAGGCCAAGAGGATCTTTACTGGTGACGATAGTGCTTTGCCAGTCATCATCTCTACGTCCCTGCTCATTTGTTTTGCCCCTGAATGAAGCATGCACAATTTGCCGTGACAAAAAGGTTTAAGAGTCCCCTTTGAACCAGCACAATATAACACAGGTAAGTCTAAAATATTCAATAATATACTGAACAAACAATGAGCAAGCTACAATGAATCACTTTCGTAATAAGGTACATTACTTGAAGCTCATTTTTGATGTCCCCCGCCATGAGTACTGGTAAAAGTATAAAATCTTACTCACTCATTCACTTATTAAAGTAGGGATATTGGTTACACAATGCCATTTAGAAAGTTGCCATATGTAACATATGTTATATTTGGTATTACACTTTTTTTTGAAAAGTACAGATTCTACTTTTTTGGGGTTGAGTCCCATCCAGGATTGGAATCCCAAATATAACATATGTTACATTTGACCACTTTCAAAATGGCATTGTGTAATCATAGCTTTCGGCCATGGGAGCCGTGCCAATTTACACTCATCAGAGGGGTACACAAAGTCCGCAGTCTAGACTACCAGTTATCCGACTTCCATTTTGTGCAGAGTCACGGTGGCTGAGCGGGTTAGGCGGCTGAATTTGTGTGCTGGCGATAGGTGCTTGACTCTGAGGGTGTGGGTTCGAATCCCGGATGGGACTCAACCCAACAAAAGTACAAGAATCTGTACCTTACTAAGAAAGTCTAATCCCAGATATAACATATGTTACATAGGGATACTGGTCCTTGAAATTAAGATTATTCTTTAGCCTATGCTGGTAAGATCATTGATGGCATATATACCAACCGTATATCCACATCACGGCAACACACTCCAGCGTGCTGAACAACAAGGGCCCCAGAGCCGCTACATACCAGTCTAGCAGCTGGAACATGTATGGACCTCCCTGCAATAACACACTGTGAGGTGAGTGGATGAAACTATTATTCTTTCAGCTGTTCCCGTAACCGCTGTAGCCACTACTAAATCTACCCGTGAAGATCCGGGTTAGCATGTATCTTCAGAAACCGCTGTAGCCACTACTAAATCTACCCGTGAAGATCCGGGTGAGCATGTATCTTCAGTAACCCATTTATTCGTTCAACGACATCCAATCAGCATTATTATTTGTTATTGTGTGTTATTTGTGTTGGTTGAATAATACGCAGAAAATGTTATTAACACAATCGTGTGTTTCCGTCAAGTGTGCTTCTTGTAAAACATATTGAATACAACAAATACCGAATTTAATACGTAAGGAGAAACATGTTGAAAAATATACCTTATTCAAGGCAGTTGCATTTGTTTAAGAAAGGAATAACCAAAATACGTTTTCTTATTTCCACAGAATCTTAAATCCAACTCATTCTAATACTTGTAGACCCGTGAAGATCTGGGTTAGAATTGATCTTCTTCAGTAATCCATGCTTGTCGTAGAGGCGACTAACGGGATCGAATTGGTCAAGTTCGCTGGCTTGTTGACACATGTCATCGGTTCCCAATTGCGCAGATCGATGATCATGCTGTTGATCACTGGATTGTCTGGTCCATACTCGATTATTTACAGACCGCCTCCATATAGCTGGAATATTGCTGAGTGCGGCGTAAAACTACTAAACTCACTCACTCACTACGACTACTACCGGCAATGCTCCCACTACAACTGTTACAACTACTTCCCCTGTTACATCTACTATTGCTGCAACTAAGTCTACAACAGTCCTGGTTCAGGTACTTTCACGGCACGTTAAACATACAGTATACACAATTGTAAACCAAAAGTGTTCTATAATCTGATTGGTTGAACAACATGACCGAATGGTATTCGATTACCGGAAATTCCAAGGCCATTCACTGTGTATTAATACGTGCTAACATCGCACACACCATTGTATTGTTACGCCGTCAGCAGTGGTGACGTCATTCAAATCATATTGTGATGTAAAGTCCGAATAAGGTCACAAATGAGCAGTTCCAGATGCTACCATGGGAAACGGCCGGCTGATGACATTTCACTGCTGTACCCGTACTCGATGTCAATGAGTGCAGACAGAAAAACGTGTGTGGACTTTTTAGTTTACTTTTGTGTTTACAATGTCGAAAAACATTATGTGTTGGCCAATTTCTGGGAGTTATTGAGAATTTAAAGCACGGGAATATTTCATTTGAAACCTCCGGCTAATGCCGTCGGTTCCAAATGAATTCCGTCAACTTCAAATACTCAATAACACCCGAAATTGACCAACACATGATGTTATCTCATAAATAGAGAAGCTGGTTAAAGAGTCGGCTTTGTACGAACTCATCACCTGTGTGCAGAACACGATTCCAAGAAGAAAGGACATCAAGCAGCATCCTAGTGTAACCAGCATCCTCCTCTTACCCAGCGTCCGTGGGTACTGGTCAACCAGGGCAGTAACAACTACTTCCATACTCATGAACTTCAAGAAAGAAATAGTGTTAAGTGTTTCCGTTACCATAACCACAATGAAATGATACAACGACTCGTGTACGTAATATGTTTTGCCTCAGCTTTTACGACAGGTGTTTTACCATTAGAGAGTCTACATTATACATCAGAGATTTTCAGGATTCCACTTGAAAACAGTCTAGGATATAAAATGTTACTATGCTATACATACACATACATACATACATACATACATACATACAGAGAAAATATTTGTAAAAGCGCTTTTATCAATCTAATTTATCGAAGGCGCTATCGAAATCCACTTTATCTATGTGCAGGAGGTGAATAGGTGCGTCTTGAGTCCACTTTTAAAATTTGTAGACAAGTTCTGTTTGAGGGCAGGAGAGATGTGTTCAGTCCTTTTAATTTGACAGATCAATTGCGTGAATTTTGTGCCTTCTGTAGCCTTAGAGGGACTTGTTTTGCTTTACCAGACGGCGGGGGTGCAATAAATCAAACGGGATGTTACATATGCTTGAACTAGAGCTGTTGCGGAATTTCATCAAGTATCGACGGACCAACCCGTATTGCCTGGGTGATAACATTGGCGACAGACGTGCCCGAACATGGGGTTCCATGCTTTGAGGGCAGAGTAAAGGAATTACACTAAGATTGCGAACATGGCAGCCGCATTTTATTGCAGGTGCGGGTATATATAGATCATATGTGCTTTCTCTCTGAAGACTAATTTTTCAATAGTAATGTGTGAATATAACTCATTCTGTATGCTTCAACGCGTGAGTCCTGGGACCTCATTTATGGAGTCCAAAGCGACTGGTTTTGTTGTCTCATATTTTTCATTTGTTTGTTTCGACATTTATTGAGAATGCAAACCTTCAACTAATCAGATGGTTGCAGGGAAACGGATGAACTTGTCTTTATGCGGTAGACGTCAGTGAAGGTCGCAGAAGTTCACTGAGGAGGTGCTGAAGTTGAGCACTTAGATTCGTACCTGCGAATCAAACCAACCATTAACGGCATCAGGAAGAACAGGAATGACCACAGCTACAAGGAAGCGGAAGTTTTGCCAGAGATTCTGGATGGGTTACAAATCGACCTTTCTGGACCTTCAGCAGAAACATCTGGAAGATGTATTTATTGATACCAAAATAAAAGCGGTAAGAGCCATTCCACATCCATACCAATGCTCTGCCAAAGGGAGTCGATTGACCGATTTCGCCCACATCATGAGCATGTGTCTGTGAGGAATTATCAAATAATTGATGGTGACATCTATCCCAACCAAACTCTGACCTGAAATTCACGCCATTTCTGCACACATCAGCTAGAGCCGTGTGTGTCTGTGTGTCTGTGTGTGTTATTGATATTAGGTGTTGGTTGGTTTCTTGGGTCTTGCCCACTTGTAAAATCGTACTGTCATTCCGTTCATCAAGGTTGGCTAATTACATCAAAGGACAACAACTACTATCCTCCTGAAATCCCACCATTTCTTGATTGTTCTTCAAGATTTTTCCGCTATCTTATACTGCGATTGTACAAATATAATAATGTGATTGCCGCTAGAAACAATGAAAAAATCCCCTACCTGATGGAAACTACTTGTGCAATGGGAACTACCCATTTTTCTGTGCCATCACCCCAGGTACAGCAAATGTGACCCGAGGCCAGAAGATGCTGGTTCCCTCTGATACTGAAGGCCAGTATGGGGCAGTCTCTGTCAAAATATTTTAATTACTAGTAAGTTCACCCATCTCTTTCTCATAAAGACACCAACAAAACCCTTGCCATAACTACTTATAATATACAAAGGTCCCAACGCCAGTAAACAACCAGTCTCGATCCTGCTCAACTGATTCTACTTGTCGCAATAGGAAAAGCCCAGAAATGTCTGTCATACAGGCTCCCTGTACGATTCGTACTGTGTACTATATAATCGTGTGTTTATGAATCATTAGGGGCGGTGGGGTAGCCTAGTGGTTAAAGCGTCGGCTCGTCACACCGAAAACCCGGGTTCGATTCTCAACATAGGTATATAATGTATTGAAGCCCATTTCTGGTGTTCCCACACCGTGATATTGCTGGAATATTGCTAAAAGCGGCGTAAAACTATACTCACTCACTATGAATTCATTATCTTTATGAGTGAAGAGTTCAGTCCTATACTACCAAAATGCTGGCAGTCTGAAACATGTGAACTTTGGGCTTCCAAAGATGCTATTGTTCAACAAAGCTGGTTGATTTGAAAACAAATGTTAATATGTTTCTGAATCCTAGGATCTTATCCTTTACATTCCGAACAATACCGCTTGGTTTTTTTCAAGCTTTTGCAGATATGTGTTTAAGGACCGTGTCTATTTCTTTCACACCGCACCCCGAGTCTACAATCAGACGGAATCAACATTTTTGTAGAATTGTATGATCTTTAAGAAAAGACATGACCAACTAATGTTTAGTGAATATTTAATATTCGGAATATCCTGAATTCTTAGTATAACGTGAAATGTTTTTGGCAAAAATGGGCAAATGAAGTCTTCATCTGAATGTTTCTGATAACTCAAATCTGAAAGGGATTATTATGATGACTTATAAATGGAACATATGTTATATTTGGGATTACACTTTCTTAGTAAAGTACAGATTCAAGTACTTTTGTTGGGTTGAGTACCATCCGGGAATTGGGCACCTAATCGCCAGCACACAAAGTCAGACGGCTGCGCTTGGGTTAAGCTGAGTGAATCTGAACTTTACTAAGAAGTGTAATCCCAAATATAACATATGTTACATTTGACCACTTTCTAAATGTCATTGTGTATTCATGACTTATAATTGACATAAACGTAAATGAGTCGTACCCGTACGCTTTTTGCATCTACTCAAGGTTTCAACACTGCCCTTTGTCCTTTATCATTGTAATAGAGATTGCCCCAATTCGTCGTCAAATGCCGATCTAAGAAAGAATTTAACAAAATGACAACTCAAACAGCTACTGCATTTACCACAACTTCTACAATTAATGTTTTGAAACTATACGATCTATCCTGTTAAAACACACTATGTTCATGTGTCATCTAATTTCAGATTCGCTTCATGGACATTATTCCATTCAACAATGATGCGTGCAGACTCAAATTGATTTCTTGCATGACTAACGATTAGCGGGAAAGTCAATCATTTTGAATAGCATCAATTGCCAATCAAAACACACCACAATTTGACGGCTTAATTCACCGAGAAAATATGTACAGATCAGATATACACACATAGATAACTACCGCCCCTCCGTACTTCAATTTTACGTTTGATGAATTGGCTGTATCTGGTTAATTACACTGATTACAGATAATGACTGCAGCACCACGTTTCAATTTGACGATTCAATTATATTATGACATTTTAATTATGATCATGTTTCGTTCCTGACAGACAGATAACAATTCACTCATTTACCTTTTTATGTCAAGTTACTGTTCAAAGGGTATTGTTGCCGTTAAAGGTTCCATGGAACAAGTGCTCCCATCAGTTCTTGACTTTGATACCGATGAACAGTCGATTTAGAATTGAAGGTCGACAACTCATTCTTGTCGTAAGAAGAGATTAACGGGATCAGGTAATATTAGGAGTGAATTCATGTCTTTATATGATTGATGTCTGGAGTTGCGTAGATGATGCTCGGAGATATCCATCACTGGATTGGCTGGTCCTAGATTCAGTTGCAGCGTAAAAGCGCTGTGGCGTAGCTGAGGCGAGGGACTAACAACAGGAACATTGGCGACTGGGGAAAAATCCATTTCAGTACTTGTAATGTCTACATGGAAGATAATTACTTCATCAATGAAATCTCTTAATGCGTTTTAGACTACACGTTTATTTGAACAGAAAATACTGTAATGACTGAATGCATTTGAATTTGGACAATAAATATTATGTTACCGCAATAGCTCTATATAGTCCACTTCAGTATATTCTTCTAATTCACCCATGACCCATTAGTGTAATATACAAACTATTCGTCCTGGGCATTTGTAATGTTCTGGCTATACCTTTAAACTAAATTACTCATTGAATGCGAAAACAAAATTTGCCTGCCTGATATAACTGACTGACTGACTATGGTTTTACGCCACCGCTTTTAGCAACATTCCAGCAATGGGAACAATAGAAATGGAGCTGCACATTGTGCCCATGTGGGGAGGATCGAACCTGGGTCTTCGGCGTGACGGATAAACCTCTAACCCACTAGGCTACCCCACCGGCCCTGTCTTATATCTAAATTCACTGTACGCATTTCCAAGACATGTACGTCACTGTCTAATCGCAGTGAGACATGACATAGCACCGTGTGTGGCCATACCGCTGACACTAAACATTATTACGAATTTTACATATCCACAAAATCAATTTATTTTTGCAAGAAGATTGAATTTAATGTGAATCATAAGAATTTGAACACTTTTGTTTCAGATAGCCCTTAATATCATTATGCGATATCAAAAAATTATTCCGGTTATGACAATGTGCCGGATTAGACAGCTAATCGGTGTTAGCAAGTTTCACTGTATATGATGATTCCCTCAGGCCCCTAACATTTGTAGTTTGTTATTAGTGATTACAATTACTCATTTGTTTTGAAACGCGTGGTTTGAAATGTCTACCAAACCGGACCGTGGGGTGACTCTTACGCACTTGTACAGGGTTATTCCAAGGTTTTGAGCCTAAAATACTTCCTGATATGTGCATTACGAAATAACTGCATGATATTGAAGAATGGTTTACATATTATTCACATAAACGTAATACTGACATGCACTTATCCCGCTAGTTTTACCGGTCACGTGACATCTAATCGCATATGCCGCTTACTGGAAACGAGTGGAAACCAGACGCCAACGCTTTGTTAGCACCTAGTACAATATCCACGATAAGCACGATGTTTCGGAGGATAGTCATTTCGATATAATATTAGCGCTGACGTTATATTTTTGCGCAAAACATTTTTAACGGATCTCCCTCACTTGCGCACTTGCCACTGAGGCATGGTTAGTTTAGACCTTTGGCGGCTTGCGGCAGTTCCGGCTGATCCGAAACCAATTGCAGAGTGAGTAGGAAACCTGTAGACCTTGCAGCTGTC